CGTCTCGGTGAAATGGCTCGGGTGGGTTTTAGCCCTTGGTCTCTCACCCTCCTCCCTTCCAGGATGCCTCTGGCTTTACATGCACCAGCCCTGCCCAACGGGATGTGAGGGACAGCTTTCCTCACAGCTGAGAAGGACCCAGACCCCAGCATAAGGTCTCTGGTCCAGGCGCTCCAGCCCTTCCCAGGAACTGCCCGCAGAGCCCACACTACCTGCCAGCTTCAGATCTGTCTGGACAGGAAGGCCTACCCTGCTCTGCTATTTTTAGCCTCGGCCTGGTTGAGTCAGTCTTTCTGCTGGCGGGAGCCCTCTGCTCTTCTTTCTCGCGCTGTCGGAGTCTTGCTCACATCTTGGGCGGTGAGCAGGTCTGTCTCCCTCGCCCCCTCAGCTTTCCCCTGCCCCCCTTCCCCCCTCTCATCAGGCTGGGGCAGAGGAAGGGTCCATATTTCTTTGCTTCTCTTGATAAAAGCCTCCCAGAAGTCATGTGACCTGGAGAGAGCCGGAGACTTTTCATCTTGCTCACCATTTTGCATTAATGTAGCTGTAAGTGGGAATTGTTATTTCTAAAAATCAAGTCTAAGCTCAAATATGCCTTTAAATGAAAATAATTACATTAAAATCACTTCAGAGAGGAGGACTGAAATGTTAGCTATAAATGGATGCTCATTGTTCCTCATTTGTGATCCCAGCTTACAGCAGAATGACTGACAGGGAAGGCACTTAAATGCTTAATGGAGGAAGGTGTGCTTAGGAATAAATGAATAGATTCCAAGGTGCTAAAAGCTCAGTGACTTATCCCTCTCAGGGGTAAAGCTTGTAACTTAACACACAGAACTTTTCTTTAATAAACTGCAAATGGAGTTTGCAGGCATCTCTCCGGGGAGGGGCTGGAGATGTTTTTGGCAGCTGGGCTGACTTCTGTCTTCAGTAACCCCGAACTCAGCTCAAAGTGCTTTAAGCAGTAGAGCAGTGGTTCTCAACCTTCTGGCCCTTTAAATACAGTTCCTCATGTTGTGACCCAACCATAAAATTATTTTCGTTGCTACTTCATAACTATAATGTTGCTACTGTTATGAATCGTCATGTAAATATCTGATATGCAGGATGGTCTTAGGCGACCCCTGTGAAAGGGTCGTTCGACCGCCAAAGGGGTTGCGACCCACAGGTTGAGAACCGCTGCAGTAGAGACAAGGTGCTCCCTCTACAGCACATCTTTGGCTAGGACAGGTCTAAGGTCAGTTATTCAGCGGCTCAAACCACCTCTCAGGTCCAAGTTGCTTCCCATTTCTGCCCGTCTCTTCTTTGGTGGGACAGTGTCCTACCTGCGACTGTAAGATGGGCCACAACCCAGCGTCACACGCAGATGACACTGCCCCACGGAAGAAGGGAGCAGCACCCTCCATGCCGCGCTTCTTGGGGCACCCAGTCCTCTCCCCAAGCTCCCTAGAGGAACGCTCACAGGCCCACTCCCAAACCAATCACTGGCAATAGAACTGGCACCCCTGTGAACGGCTTCAATCACTCACGACTGACCACTGAGCCCCACAGTGGAGGGATGGACGCCTGGGCCACATCAGGGCTCGGCCAGCGAGGAAGAAGGGAGCCATGGCCACTGCACAGGCCATCAACGGTGTTGGCTCTGATGCCCGTCCAACGCCAGGCCTGATTCTCATTTCTTGTCATTTTTCCAAGGAACTTCTATAACAAGGGAAACACACAAATTTCATCAAGAAAATTACACCAAGATTTGACTTGTTTTGAGCAACATATTTGGATGCTGAGGGCACCCACACTTTTCTTATTTTCTTACTCTCCGGCTCTTTTTTTAAAAAACAACATTCGGTTGTTCTGTGATATTTTCATAACCCATTAGGAATTATGTGGTTAAAGGAGCTACAGTCTATTTCAAAGTTCAGCAAAGCGGTCACTCATTCTTTCATTTATCAGATCTTACTATGCTTTACTCAGCATTGAAGACACAAAGGTTGGGAAGATAGGTCTTTGTCTGCCAAGGAGACACTGGGAGGCCCCTACCCTGCTGAACAGAAAATCGACTAAATGCACCTGGATCGACAAATCTCAGAGGAGAAGGCATTTTGAGCTGGATACAAACGTTCAGTAAGAGCTTGTTAAATACGTGCAAATTGTCTTATATTCCATATTTTAACACTGCTAACTTCAGTTGACATTTTAAGTCCCTCTTGGCTTGGGCACATCCCAGAAAGAGCTTTTTTGGGCGCATGTAGGATTTGAACTTGTGTCATTTGACAAGAAAAATTGGACCTCTGTAGTCTTAAAAAATACAAGCCTATACTAGTATATGATCATGTGAGTAACATGGTACAAGCAGGTACAACATTACTTATGAGTATGAAGCAGAATATTTTATTTATTTTTTAAAAATATATTTTATTGATTTTTTACAGAGAGGAAGGGAGAGGGATAGAGAGTTAGAAATATCGATGAGAGAGAAGCATCGATCCGCTGTCTCCTGCACACCTCCTGCTGGGGATGTGCCCGCAACCAAGGTACATGCCCTTGACCGGAATTGAACCTGGGACCCTTGAGTCCCCAGGCCGACGCTCTATCCACTGAGCCAAACCGGCTAGGGCAGAATATTTTAAAATGTGGATCCTGAGGCTGATTGTGTAGGCTGGGAGCCTGGGTTCTGAAGTTGGGCAAGTTTGGGTTTGAATAGCTTCCTGTGTGGCCTTCAGTAAACCACTCACCCTCTCTGAGCCTCGGTTTTCTCATGTGTAAAATGGTAGTAACATCAAACACATCCATGTTCATACAAGCCCTTTGGTTCTGTCACTGGGAGCTTCTCTTTGGCTTCTTTCTAACATTGGGTAACATCTAGTAATTTGTAGTGTCTAATATCTTTCCAATTATCCTTCCCAGTACCCCAGCTTCCTGCCCCGTCTTCTTCTTTCTTCCTTTAGGCAGCTCCTACCCCTGCAAGTCCTGTTCATTTCTTATGAGAAGCTCAGCTCTTTGCCTCGCCACACAAAACCGCAATACTTGCCCCATAGCTGACGTTACATTAGACCCTTCATGAACGGAGTCCCTGCCGAGCACGGCCACCGGAACCAGTGCCTGGCGGAGCCTGACCTGTCCTTGAACCTGATCCCTTTCCCGGCCGAGGTGCTTTCCTCACCAGCATCTGCGTGGACGAGGCGTCCCATGGGGATTCATCCTGTTCTGACAGAAATGTCTAAAGTTTAGAACTACACCCTCCAGGCCAACATGAAAAACAGCTTTTTATAATGAAAACGGTTAAGTTCTCAAAAAGTTTAACACAGCATTTTAACAACCTACATGATCTGTATGTAGCAGCAACCAGGGTTAATTACAAAACTGCGTATTTGAATAGTAAACAATGCGGACTGTGCCTCTTCAGAAAGAAACCTACAGGAAAAAAGAACATTTCTTCAAAACCCCACAAATAAAATATTAATGGAACTATAATATAAGCTCCACAGGGCAGGGGTTCTGTTTGGTCTGTGCTCTGCTACAGCCCAAGTGCCTAGAACAGGGTGGACACGTAGAAGGTGTCAATAAATACATGGTGAATGACTGTTCTGACAATGAAATCTGATTAGAAACTGAAGAAATTAGAAGTGCCCCCAACAGGCAATGGCTCACACAGAAAGTAAAAAGCTAGATAAAATGTGGCATTTAAAAATGACCCTGAAACAAAATGAATTAAACTGATAGTTCTTTTCAGTTTACAGCTGGTTATTATTGGTTTAAAAACTAGCCAAAGACCAGTCAAGAAGCAACGAGTATTTGGACATATTTAGTATACGAAATTTTATACTATACCTGTCAAATATTCTATCGGTCTACAGTCCACAGCTCTCGTCCCTGCTGCGTCCTGGGTGTCTTAAACGCCCATGAGCTAAAGCAGAAAACGGAGGGGGTGGGCTTTATTGGAAGGCCCTGGGGTGGCTGATGGGAGGGAACAACCACCAGCTCAGAAGGCCTCGTGGGCTGGGAGGAAAGTCTTAGCCGTCAGGACTGTCTCTTTCTGAATGTCTGCTTCATTCTCTCAAGTTTTTTCCATGAGCTTATAATCAAGGTGCCAACACCAGCAGACTCTGTCTGTCTTCCTCTCCTGAGAGGAAGTGTGTTTTCATAGATCCCATTAGAACAGCGGTTCTCAACCTGTGGGTCACGATCCCTTTGGCGGTCGAACGACCCTTTCACAGGGGTCGCCTAAGACCATCCTGCATATCAGATATTTACATTACGATTCATAACAGTAGCAACATTACAGTTATGAAGTAGCAACGAAAATATTTTATGGTTGGGTCACAACATGAGGAACTGTGTTTAAAGGGCCAGAAGGTTGAGAACCACTGCATTAGAAGGATCCAGGGAGGGATGCCAATTGGTTGAGCTTGGATGACATTTCCCGTCTCAGGAACCGATCTCTGTGGGCAGGGGGAAGGGTGGGGCGCAGGAGGGCCTGGCAGCTCCCCGAAGGACGTGAGAGCTATGAAGGTGGTACAGTTCCCTAAAGAGTGAAGGACAGTCCCAGACGAGAGCGAATGTCCTTCGAAACGACAATGAAAGCCCCTGTCGGAAGGAAGCCTTCGCAGACAGACCGCCTTCTGCGGGTCGGCCTGCGAGGCTCCCCCCTTTCAGAGTCTGGGTTCGCACCAGTCTGTTACTTCAGGGTTCTTGCTGTCCAGAGAGCAGTTAACTGAATTATTAAGATCTTCATTATTAAAATGAGGTAAGTTTTATCTGAATTAAAAAGGCAAACATAACATTAGTATCTTTCTCTAAGAGATCAAAACACTCTCATCACAACTTAATAAGGTTAGACTAGACTGATGCACTGATGAATAAAAATTTCTTCCATTTGACCAACTGGAAACTAAAGCCAGATGCCTTATCTGAGGCCTCAGTGCGTGAGGAAGTGGACTGGCTCCTGGACTCACGTGTTTTAGTTAAAGACCAATGTTTCAACAAATCAGTGCGGCCCACAGAGCAGTGTTTGATATTTGGCTTTACTTTATAAAAATACACAACTTAAATACATATGACACTCTCTATACAAGACATAAACAACTGTTGGATTTAACATTTTCAGTTATTTCAACAGAAAGCAAATATGTAAATTACCTCGTAAGAGCAAAAGGTTTGTTTAGAGACTCTGCATTCACAGTCAAAGGGCAACCGATGCAGGAAGCCAACCCAAACTGGCCCCTTTCCAACAGGTCACCCCCCAGGCCTTCACTGCACAGCGGTCCTGCACTGCTTGTTCCACACAAGCTGATGCACCCACATCACAGATTAAATGCTGTCTTCTCTAGAGATGGTTCATGGGAAAACCAATGTACAAATGGTATCAAGTGTATCTTACAATTGTGCTCAATCCCAAGTCTGAACCTCTTTCCACTTTGCAAAACTTGCGATGGAAGGTGGTTAGCTATGTTTTGCTAAACTCAAAATTGGTTTAAAAACTAGCCAAAGACCATTTTCAAAAGTCTCACCACATCATAGGCAGACTCTGAGCTGGACAGCGTGCAGTGAAGGGAGTGACATCCCGGCGCCCACCGAGGTTCCTGGGAGAAGGCGCTGTCACCGTGACACACAATGTGCACCAGCTCCACGCCTTCCAACCCGACACTGGAACCCCTCGCCCCTCCAGGCTGTCCCCATGCTGCGAGGGGCGGCAACCTCACTCCGGTGCTGCACTCACTCGGCTTTCTTTCAGAAAGTCAGCTGCCTCGTCTATGGCTCATGGGACTAACAGTGAAGTAGGTACTAGGTTATGGGTATAAAAAATATTGACCAGTTGAGAATTCAATGCTGAGAACATACTAACCTAAGTTTCCTGAGGTAAATGTGAGCCTTAAAGAATAGTGTGCGAGCTACAGCATCAGAGCAGTTTATGGGGGGTAGCAGCACGACACCCCGCATCTACAGTCCCTTAACAGACTGACCACAATGCCAAGGACACATTAATGTGAAGAAGAAAATGACACGTGGAATAACAGAAATGCTGACAGGCGAGAACATCGATTCAAATGGAGGCAGGAGAGGACAGTGGAACAGAAGGCGGTGGATGTTAAAGTGCTTGGGTAGGTTGGACGATTAGCTTGAAATGCCTCCAGGGTTTTTTCTGACAAGTTTTAAAAGTTAATTCTTGGTGACTCAGATGTGGAAGGAATGGCTTTTCTTTAATAATAGCTGTTCAAACTTTTTATTCCTTTTTGAAAAACAAGATTCTCTCTAGAAATTTTTTTTAGCCATTAAAATTATTCTGCTAGTTGTTACTCTCACTGATGTATTCTGAAATCCTAACTGGCTGAATAATTTTAAGATTGAACTATAAAGGGCATATTTGCACCAAGAAGTTAAATTAATGCACAGAGGTCTGTAAGTTTGTATGAAGTTAGTACTAAAAAAACTTCTCATTGCTGTTCATGCTTCATTATCTTTTAATATTCTACTCAAGAATTATGGAAGTCAGAAAATCCTGGCTTCCTCTCTTTTCCATAAGTGAAGCAGTACATGGCCGCCTTGGCTCCCAATGAAGGTCCTGGGAACTGAGTCCCAGGACCTGAGAATAGGGTCAGGCCAAATTCCAACAAGTCAGTCGCTACATAGGGATACGAATGGAAGCCGAAAGAACTCCCCCTGTAACTGCCCAGCCGCACGCTCTCACTGTAGGTGAGTGAGGTGACTGACCCAGGGTTTAAGGACAGTGCTGAAACTGGCCCCAGCTCTTTATACAGGGCCACACACTCAGCGAGCTGTCAGGTCAACTTGGGCTGACACGGCCATGTGTGATCCCTCATTCACACGACTCCTCAATTCTGTAGCCAGAACAGAGCGCTGTTCATTACTGTAGGCATGATGAAGGCCTTAAGTAACATCAGGTCCAGAGAACCTTGGGTTGGAGTCCCGCAGTCCCAGAGCTGGTGAACATTAAACGGCCAGAGGAAAATCCCACCAGAAATCGTATCTCAGATCTCATCTCATAAAAAAGAACATTTCGGTCTCACGGAGATGAGAACCTACTAGAAATCAATGCTCTGGTTTCTGACAAGCTCCCTGCAGCCCGAGGGCAGCCACCGAATGCAGCTGCTTTGGGAGGGCAAGAACCCCAGACGCAGTGGGCGTGAATGAATGGAAGTGCCTTTCTCCTGAGGTGTAGGCATGCCAACCGGGGATCTATATGGGACAGCTGGTAAAATTCACAGAAAGTAGTGTCCTGTGAACCTTAAAGCCCCCATCAGTGCAGCGTGGTCACAGCTAAAAACATGAGCATCCTCATGAGAGTGACAGGCGATGAGCCACCCGAGAGGGGTAGACGCCTGAGAGAAAGGCCAGGCCTGATCTTCACCCATCCTGGGAGACTGAGCCGGAGACTATGGCGAAATGGATTTCTCTACGTGAAGGTAATCTTTATAATCTGTAGTGTAAAATATCGCTATTCAGAAATTTGGGACCCAAGCAAAATGATGGCGATTCCTCCCACACAGGCTTAAGGATCTCTCCCTCCACCGGCCCCCACCAAAGGACCCACACTTCCTCTGGTCATCCAGGCCCAGGCCCAGGCCTGTAGGGAGGCAGTGGGTGGAAGCCAGGGACTGAAGGGGAGAACTGATGGCGGATGTCGTATATGGAATAAGGAGGCTAGAGGAGAGGAACTGACACTGATGAGGAGACCTGGCTTGTTGAGCAGCACCCCTGCCTTTCCCACCATTATTTGTCTGCAGCAAATAATGCAGAAACAATAAAAGGCATAAACCTCATATGGGGGCTCCATTAAGGCATCAAATGTGCCTGAGCCAGGCTGGCGGGGCCCTGGCCATGTGTGCACCATCCAGTGTGCCCTCAAGCCCTTGTCTTGGGTCCGGTTCCTCGTTCCTAGGTGATGATGCTCCCCACAGCAACCAGCACCCATCTCCACAGCCAGGGAGAGACCTCAGATCCAGGGGCCCGACTAGCAGCAGCCAGTTTACCCAGAAGTGTGGCTGCCATCGCTTTTACCCTCAGGACTGGCTCGTCTCTCCCCCTGGTGGTCAGAGAAGGGAACAGACTAAATGTCAAAAAAGGGCTGCTTAATTCAGAATCGCATCACTCTGTTTCACAAACTTCCAAAGGGCTCTAAGAGCTCATTAATCTTAGATTGATGGTTACAACACCACCTAAGGACTCATCCTAAAAGGAGCAACTTGCTTGTGAGGTCACACCAAACTTCCAGGGGTTTCGATATTGTCTGCTTCTGTTTTAATTCTGATGATGAATTAATAAAAAAGAAAGAGAAGGTGAAAGGGTCTTCCTGTCCTTCCCCTCCAGAAACCTTTGGACTCTCCTGAGCAAGGGGCCTACGGGGGGACTTGCTTTCAGCTTGGAAATATGCGATGAGCGACGCAGGCGTGTGGTCCCTTCGCCCCCTCTGTGACATGGTAGCAGGCGCCTGGATTACTGATTCAGGGCTGACAACACACACGGGAAACGAGCAGGGAGGTTCTGTGGAGGGAAACCACGTTGGCTGTTTTACCTCCAGGGAAAGCCTGTTTGTACTGAGCCCCACCGTCCTTTCCTCTCCTTCCTACTTGATGTTCTTCAGCACGGCCGTCCGGGCGTTCACCACGGCTTTGAAGGCATCCTCACTCCCCGGCGCCACACATTTGTCAGGGTGGAGCAGCACCGCCAGCCTCCGATAGGCTTTGTTGACTTCGTCCCTACGAAAAGGAGCAAAGCCCGTGTTAGTGACAGGCCCGCCCCATGAGCTGCATTTGGCTGTTTGAATAACGTAATAACTCTTGCAGTAAGCATATCCCAAATAACTCCTACCCTTTTTAAAGGTGAAACTAGGAAACAACAAACAACAAATAATATGTAACATACAAGTAGTATATGAACGCTGAGAAAGCGCTTGGTAAAGGAGTGATCGGATGGAAACGGCACTTGGCACCTGGCGGCGCTGAGTGCGTGCTGGCAGCAGGGAGGGCCTGGGCGGTCCGGGCAGGCCCCGCACTAGCTCTGAAAGTGGGGCTTGGGGACGAGCACGGGAGGGGAAATACCGAGCAACTGGCAGAGAACTGGCGAGGCTGGGCACAGACTGTGGGTCCGGCATGCAGTCCCCTGAGGAAACTGCTGGGAGGGACACGGAACCAAGTAGCCAGGGAGCAGGGTCAGTAAGTGAAAGGCCATGGAGGCCAAACAACAGGAAACGGGGTTTGACCAACAACAAGAGTAGGCGCTCGTGACAAACGGTGCCGGGAGTGCCTTTCTTCAAGTCAGGGGTCAGGTGGGGGTGTTACCATAACCCAAGTGAGAGCACATCGTAGCTACGGTGTCTGTGGCAGGAAGAGAAAGGGATAATGCAGAGCAAGAGGGGGCAGAAGCACATGAGGAGCCAGATACAGAGCTGGATAAGCTACAAGAAAAAGGGCTGAAGTGAGTCCAGTTTCCTGGGGAGTCTGAGGCCCAGGGTAGGTAGGGATACCAACGACCAGGAAAGGGGCGTGGAAAGGGGTACCTGAGAGATACAGTGAGCTCCCGGAGATAAAGAAACGAGAGAGATCAATATACCCAGAGAGAGGAGCGGTAAGACTCGCACAGCCAGAGACCTTAGGCTTCCGAGCTCCCCAATGAGCAGGAACTGATCGGGGAGGGGCCTGGAGGCCACCTGGTCCTGTAACCTTCCCTGCTTTTTTTAAAAAATATATACTTTTTATTGATTTCAGAGAGGAAGGGAAAGGGAGAAAGAGAGATAGAAACATCAATGATGAGAGAGCATCATTGATCGGCGGTCTCCTGCACGCCCCACACTGGGGATTGAGCCCACAACTGGGCATGTACCCCAACTGGGAATCGAACCGTGAACTCCTGGTTCATAGGTCGATGCTCAACCACTGAGCTACACTGGCTGGGCTCCCTGCTCTTCATTATGCTCAGGTGCCAGGCCTCTGAGAGGCTTCTAGTGCCCAGTCACCACCTGGAAGGAGTCTGCTCTGTCTCCACCGGGTGGCTTTATTTCCCACCTTCCTTTTGTGATCCAGGTTCCCGCTGTCTTCTGAGGCTGGGTAGGGCGCTTTCTGAATGCCCTAGCTCAGTGGTCGGCAAACTGTGGCTCGTGAGCCACATGTGGCTCTTTGGCCCCTTGAGTGTGGCCACAAAGTTTCAATTGCACTGTACGTGCGTGCCCGCACGTGGTATTTTGTGGAAGAGCCACACTCAAGGGGCCACAGTTTGCCGACCACTGCCCTAGCTTCCCTCCTTTACTTTTTATCCGAAGGACGTCTAGTTTGGCTCTGCAAATTAGGGAGTTGGTCTTTGATGTCTTGATGTGATGGAAAGTCTTATGTCAGCTTGGAGAGACAGGTCACAGGGCCATGCTACGTTCTTCATGTCCTGAGCATACATTCTATGGCTTTTTCTATTTTCTGCTCTTAGGGGAGTCCTGCATTCTCTTGTTTTAATCTTTCATGTAGCTCTTCTACATAATTTTATTATCAGCTACCAAGAATCATATTTTCCCCAAAGGACTCTCCATCTCTAAGCAGGTTCAGCATCCTCTCTCTTCCCTGTGAGCGAGTCCTGGGTAGGCCCCTCTCTGCTCTGCTTCCTGAAGAAACATGTCCACCGGGGGTGGTATGAGGCCTGGCCTGCTGCACCAAGAGTGCCTTTTAAGAAGTCTGGGTAACCAATGGACACAGACAGTAGGGGGGTGAGGGCCTGTGCTGGGGTGCGGGAGCGGGCTGGGAGAGGTCAATGGGGGAAAAAGGAAACATGTAATTTTCAACAATAAAGAATTTTTAAAAAGAAAAAAAGAATTCTGGATAGCAGGGGAGGCTTTCAAGGAAAATTCTGGAGAAACAGGACTGAGTCAAGTGTGTAAGAAATATATTAATTCTAAAGATTAAGATTTTCTCAAAGGTGAAGAATAGTAAACAATTAGCACTGAACAAACATTAAAACTGTCTATAACTTAAAAAAATGTTGTAGGTTTTGCCTCAACATACCATACAAAATAAGTTTGATATCTCCAGAAGAGCAAAGGTAAGAACAGTACATGTTTCTATTGGTTAAGGGCATGGAACTTATGGAGATCCTGTAAATTTTAGTAGATTCCACTTAACCGAAGTGAATAAATAAGAAACCAAAGTTTACTTTTCTGTAATAAATATTGTTCTAAGTTAATAAGTAACCATTTCTTAGTTTTAGAGCCAATATCCCTTGAAGATGAAATGGGAGAATTTAGAATGAGGCCATGGAAACCTAAAAGTACATTTAAAAGATACCAATGAACTCTGCTATGTGCACGAGTCATCTGTGTTTAAAGCATCCTCAGTAAAGCCTGGCAAGTCGAGGTGACCAATAACTGTCTTCCTCTCCCCTCCCCTCTTTGCTTCTGGACTAAAGATATGCTCTGAGGCCAGAATGGAGAGGAGATACTAACTCTATGGATGCTGACAAGGCAATTTCAAGGTGGGCTTGTGTGGGTGGGTGGGTGGGGTGGGGTCAAGGTGAATAAGTAGAAAGGGAGAACCATGGAGAGAAAAGCTATGGTGCAAAAGCAAAAGATCTGAGGACTCTTATAATTATAATATGTACAGTAATAGTATTCTGTAGTAAAAAGTTATGCAAACTTTGAAAGTTCTTAAGAGAGTAGATCCCAAGAGTTCTCATTACAATGAAAAACCTTTTCTCTATGAGATGATGGATTGTAACTAAACTGTGGTCACTGTTTCACAGTATCTGTGAGTTGAATCATTGGGCTGTACGCCTTAAACGATACAATCCTGCATGTGAATTATATTTCATTAAAACTGGGGGAAAAGTTCTATGACCATACTGAACAATGATTTACTCTTGCACAGCAACAAAGAGTAGTGATTATATTTCTTTTTCTTCCAAGTAATTCTTTTGGCTAAAATAAAGGAACATAAATACACACAGATGAGAATCTAGTAGGAATTTTGAGACAGAGAGAGAGAGAGAGACAGAGAGAGAGAGAGAGAGAGAGAGAGAGACACGCACACACACAAACACACACATGGTGTGTTCAGGATCAAGAACCAATTCTACCACTAACCCCTGAGGTTACTGAATGTATTTAGTCTCACTAAGTCCCAGTTTTCCCAGCTATAAAATGAAATGTTTGAACACGTTGATTGCTAACATTTTTTCCTCTTCTAGAATTCTATAATTTAAGACGTCTCTTTTGTAAGGTATTTTTTAAGGTTCATTAGCTTCAAGGCTCTTAATTCAACAAGAGCAGAGCATACCATTTCGACAAGCATTTCTGCACACACACTACAAAGTTTCCACATCAGGCAACTGCTATCACCTGAATAGCAAAGAAGCAAAGCTGCTTCTGATTCAGGGAAAGAGTGTTAGCAAGTCATCTAATGTATGTCCACACACCCCTATATTTCCAGACAATTGTGAGAAGATTCGTGCCTGTGATTTTGACAATGGAGCCGTTCTCTATAATACCAGTAGAGCTCAGCACTGACATCACAGAGCACTGCTTACCTTGATGCTCCAGGTTTGACTCCCAACATGTCCCAACTGTCTTTACTATTTCGAATTCTGCGAATGGTGTCTGCTTGTTCTTTGGTGAAACTAGCGCTGCTATTTGGGATCGGACGTTTCCCGCCGTTTTCACATAAATCAACGATGGCTGCATAAAAGGTCTGCAAAACGAAACACATCCCATGGTAGAACTGACTTGGTGAAAATAGGGATTCCTTGTAAGCATCTACTAAAGGATTTCAATATATTTCAGTAACTCTTAAAATTCATAATAAAGCAAGTATTTCAGAGGGAAATACGATCAAAGAAGTGAAGAAAAATATACTGTTGGTGAGTGAAGAGAGAGAATCTCAGCAGAGAATTGGGAACCACCCAAAAGAATCAAATGCAAATTCCAGAAGTGAAGAGTGTTGAATTGAAAAATTCCCTCAGTGGATTCAACAGCAGATTGAAGTCAGAGCAACAGAGACTATGCAATCTAAAAAACAGAGAGAAAAATGGGATAAAAATAAACATAGCCTCAAGAATTGTGGGACAAAAATCACATGATCTACTATGTAGCTGGAGTGGGGGGGGGGGAGAGAGAGAGAGAGAGAGAGAAAATGGGGCATAATAGAGAGAGAGAGAGAGAGAGAGAGAGAGAAAATGGGGCATAATATAAAGGTTTAAAAAATCTCCCCAGCCCTAGCCGGTTTGGCTCAGTGGATAGAGCGTCAGCCTGGGGACAGAAGAGTCCTAGGTTCGATTCTGGTCAAGGCAATTCTGGTCAAGGGCACATGCCTGGATTGCGAGCTTGATCCCCAGTAGGAGGCGTGAGGGAGGCAGCTGATCAATGATTCTCTCTCATCATCATTGATGTTTGTTTCTCTCTCTCTCTCTCTCTCTCCCCCTTACTCTCTGAAATCAATAAAAAAATATTTTTAAAAAATCTCCCCAAATTTCATGAAAAACACCTGCACATCAATCCGAGAAACTCAACAAGCCCCCCGTAGGATAAACGTAAAGAGAACCACACCCAGACACATGGCACAACTACTGAAAATCAATGAGAAAGAGAAGCTCTTGAAAGGAACTGGAGGGGAGCCTGACAGCGTGGCTCAGTGGCTGAGCATCGACCTATGAACCAGGAGGTCATGGTTCGATTCCCGGTTGGGGCACATGCCTGGGTTGTGGGCTCAATCCCCAGTGTGGGGTGTGCAGGAGGCAGCCGATCAGTGATTCTCTCTCAGCATTGATGTTTGTATCTCTCTTTCTCCCTCTCTCTTCCTCTCTGTAATCATTAAAAAAAAAACTTGTTTTTTTTTTTAAAAAGAAAGTAACTGGAGGGGGAAAAGACATTACACACAACGGAGTAGGAGTAAGAATGGGTGCTAACATCTCAGGAGACACAACAGAGACCAAAAGAGAATGAACTAACAGATTGAAAGTGCTGCTCTAACCTCTACAGCAGCGGTTCTCAACCTTCCTAATGCTGCGACCCTTTAATACAGTTCCTCATGTTGTGGTGACCCCCAACCATAAAATTATTTTCGTTGCTACTTCATAACTGTCATTTTGCTACTGTTATGAATTGTAATGTAAATATCTGATGTGCAGGATGTATTTTCATTGTTACAAATTGAACATAATTAAAGCATAGTGATGAATCACAAAAACAATATGTAATTATCTATGTGTTTTCCGATGGTCTTAGGCGACCCCTGTGAAAGGGTCGTTCGACCCCCAAAGGGGTCGCGACCCACAGGTTGAGAACCGCTGCTCTACAGCTATTATCTATGCCTCGCCACCAAATCACCGCTCCTCTCAGGTGCTCTCCTGTCTGAAATGAGAGTGACAACTGCCGCACACCACGAGTCTTAGAGGCGATGCAATCTGTAACCCCTCAGAACTGTAAACACTATTCAAATGGCTAAGTGTTATTACTGCACATATAGAGGTACAAACCACAGAGGTTTGTTTCACAGGAAGAGAATCGTGGCAAGACAACACCAGCCTTATTTGATCTTGAAATAGAAGCTACTGATGCCCAATGTAGCCTGTCAGCGAGGATGGGACCTGTCTTCCAATAGGAGGGTGACAGCTTGTGAGAAGAAAATTCTGCATAAAAGATTAAGTAAGATCCCACTCAATAATTAAGAACAACTCTTTATAGTATAGCTACATTATTCAAAATGCTGAAAATGCCCAAAATATCAGATGTAGTCGTAAGAAAAAAATGCATTATTCATGCCACCACTTACTTCCAAATGGATCTGTCATTAAGAGTTGACTTGACTTTATAACTTAGTGTTTAAACAGCCTCCTCCCCTTAAAATTATTCAAGATTAGTAAATTTTTAAAAAGTGGCCATCTATTCAGCTTGCACTGTGAATGCATCCTTCTACTGCCTACGTGATTGGCGAGACCTGTTTTTGTGTGTGACTGGCTGGATTTGTAACCGCCGCACATGGCCACGATATAGGATTATGTTAGCTATGGCAAGCCGATCTGCATACAAATGTAACCAAAGGTGGTTTGGAAGAAATTCTCTGTCCACTGAAGTGTAAAATAGCTGCTGTTAAACATGATAATCATCGGAATCACCTAGAAAGCTTTTTCAAAATATAGATTCCTGGCTCCATCACAACATTACGCTTCCAATAGGCCCGGAACCCAGCAACCTGTATTTTGAAGAATTTCCTCAAGTAACTCTGATATCAGCCAGGTCTGGTCTGAAATAGACAGCAGACAGATATCACACACACATATCATATTCATATTCTTTCTCTTTTTCTCACCAGCTTCTGAAAAGAAAGAGCTCATTCAAATGAGAAATTCCCTTTTTGCTTCTCATAATTTAAACTAGAATTTGGCATGGGCAGTCTCGACACAAATTTTAGAACAACAAAATGCTGGGTTACCTGGAACATCTCATTAATTCCTTCTCCGGTTTGTGCTGAAGTTTCAAAGTACAGGAACCCTCTGCTTTCGGCCCAGAGACGCCCCTCACTTTCATCCACACAGCGGTGCTTGGTGCAGTCAATCTGAAACAGCAAAGTGAGCGCCAGGGACGGCCCAGTGAGGTCTGTCGGTCCTTTATAAGCAAATACTATCCTTAATGAAGCCCAGCGCTCGCACATCAAATGCAGGACCCAAAGGGACAAGACGGCGACTAATGTTGGATGGGGCTGATTTTCTGTGGCAAAGCAAGTGCCTGCTAGCGCGCTTCCCACTTATGCCTGGAGAACCTGCTGCACGGAGGGGGGCGGGCCTGCTTTCACACCTTTCCCCAGACCACTCTTCACCTCTCACTGCCCTCCTCCAGTCAGATCCGAGTGTGAGGATTAGCATCCGCTTCCCCAGGTACCCACCAGACACAAAAAACGGGTCAAAGCCTGACACCCAGCTGTTGGTTTGTTGTTGTTCTTGTGTTAGGGACCTACGTTTTGAAAAGCTGTTGATTCCTATATTACCGAAAAAGGAACTTTCCTTTTTATGTTCCCCCAAACCCAGAGCTGCGCTCCTCCATAATAAATCTAGAAAGCTGAGCGGACCATTTCCAAAGCGGTTACCTTGTTGGCACACACTACGAAGACAACGTTTTCCATGTTCCCGTGAGGTCCAAGGTCTTGCTTCATTTCCGCCAGCCACGTGTCAAGGGCGTCAAAGGAGTCTTTTTGCCCAACATCATAGACCAGCATCACCCCCTGTGTGTCCTTGTAAAACTCGTTACGAACCTTCACATAAAAGAACAGATGCACAAAATCTGAAGTAGCAAGTTGGAGGGGTTTTGTGGTTTTATAAGAAAAGGTACAAACCATATAGGTCTGTTTCAAAGAAGAGAATCATTAACTTTGCAAAGTACGCTCTTTTGTGTGTTCATAGCATTTGCTGTTGTATCTCAGTATCTGCTGGCCTTCACTTCAGGGGACGTTTTACAAAATCAAAGTAACATGATTAATAAAATCTGTCGGTGCAGAAGGGCTTGGAATGGAAACAGCAGCCTCTGCCCGACCTTCCTCACCTCCAGTTCCACTCCCCAGAGGCGATCAATCATTGAGTGCTGTTAGCAGACCTTAAAATAACACAATGACGTCAAGTTCTGCTCAGGAAGAACATGGAAGCTGAGTGAACAATTAAAAAGAACTTAAGGCAAAAATGACACAGATATTAGCAACAGGTACAGTCATTTAGACACCCACCCCGGGTGGCAGGCAGGTCTCTCTGAGCCTGGAGCTGAGCAGCAACCTCAGACTCCACGCTCAGAGCCACGGTGGACGGGCACACGGCTCTGGAGCCGGGCACACCTGGTTCACACTCACTTACTAGGGTGTGACCGGGGCAGGCCCTGAACCTCTCGGTGTCTCAGTTTCCTCATCTGCAAAATGGGACACTCCTCACTCCCAGGGCTTTTACGAAGAGGAAACCAGGCGGTGAAGGCAAAGCACCACCAAGGGCATTAGCCTCCCTTTCTCCCTCCAGGAGGATGGAGAGATGCGCTTTTCCCTGTTCTTCCTGTGAGTACCAGGAAAACGCCCGGGCAGCACATAGAAAACAGACATAACAAGTCCCGGGAAGGTGGAGAGAAGAAGGCAGGCAAGCTAGGAACTCGGGAGCTGGGGAACGGACAATGGTGAGTTCCCTGGGCTTTGTTTGCCTCACACATGCAAGACAGGGAGCTGGTCCACCTGGAAATGCCACAGGGCGCAGACAGACAGACGCCCACAGAGGCTGCTCTCTTTAGACAGAAGACCAGGGAAGGGGAAGCCTCACGAGACAAAGAAACTAGACAATAACCACTCGCTTCCGCCAGACACCTCAAAAAATCTGCCTCTCCACCCCCCGACTCGGGCAAAGGCTGAGTAGAGACTTCAGAAAAATAAATTACTGAAAAACACAAGAACCAAAATGAAAAAGCTTAGAAATTGAGCTCAACAACAAATGGAGGGGGCAGTGGAAAGACTCAAGAGAACTAGAAGGCAGACAATAAAATTAGGCAACCTAAGCAATAGAGAGAGAAACAAACAAATAGAACAGCGCTCAGGGACCGTGGGGCTACAACAAGATGAGAGTCCCAAGAGGAGAAATAGGGTGGGACTGAAAACGCTCAAAGAAACAATGGCTAAAACTCCTCAAATGTGGCAAGAGACATACACTTACAGATTCAAGAAGCTGAGGAAACCCCAAACAGAAAAAGCAAAGACATCCATGCCAACGCACCACAATTCAACCTCTAAAACTAAAGACCAAGGGAAAATCAGGAAAGCGGCCAGAGAAAAGTGAGACCTCTCCTCTGGGGGAAAAAAAATTTCAAATGACAGCAGATTCCTCATCAGAAATCAAGACCAGAGGATTTTCCAAGTGCTGAAAGGAATACCAACCCAGGCCGGGCTGGTGTGGCTGAGCGGACCCTGATCACTCACGTTCCGGGCTCAGGTATACCGCGAAAAGCAGCAGTCCTTTAACAGTGACAATGTCTTACACCAGCTAAACACACTTATTTTTACACATGATTTGAATATGGGTTGTTTCAGGTAATTCAGGATCTTTGGCTAAACCACTGACAATACTGGATATAGGTTTTCTCAAAAAGGCTTTCTTACCTCGTAGAAGAAGGGGTGTCCAGCCATATCAAAGATGTTAACTTTGATCTCTCTGTCTCTGACTTGTACCCTGAAATGTTCACATGAAAAAAAAAAAATCCCAAAGGTCATGGTTTCTGCATTCACATTAATATTACTTGTCACTTAGAAATATCTGTCACTTATACGTTTTAAAGGCGTGTGTGTATGAACCTTCACAGAGCTTCTCAGTGCCTCTTCCGATCCCGCATCATCTCTGCAACAGGAGCCGCACCTTGGCAGGCAACCTGCCTCCTGATCCTAACACACGGAGCCCGCCTGGCACAGGCGCTCACTCACCTCCAACTGCCCTCAGACACGCCTGTCCGCCCCCTTCACTCACCAAGGGTGGCTCGTGCTGTGGGACTAAGGAAAACTGATTTGGGACAAGTAGGAGCGAGAGGAAGGAAAACAAAATATTTTGTTTCCCTTAGTAAGACATCTTAATTACTACTGGTTATACTTGGTTACCATGCAGAACTGTAACAAATTATATTATTAACAATATCTGTTTAATTTTCTTGTTAGCTTCATTTGAGCAATAGCAATAGTCAATTTTCTTTCAGAAATTTGAAAATAGAGAACAGAACAAAAAGGGAAATAACAACCATTAATATTAGAATTAACTACTGTTAACATTATAGCATTTTTGCTTCAAGTCTTTTTTTAAAAAAAGAAAAATCACTACTGGAAAATGAATGAATAAAACATGATAAATAATTCGAACACCAAAGGAAAATACAAAGATGAAAGCTTAAAAGTAAACCCAAATCATATCACCCAGAAAAAACCACCACTAACATAGATGAAAATCACCGCAGACTTCTTCCTATGCATAGATAAGACTAATAGACATTTTAATAAATATGGGTTTATACTATTTTGAAATAAAAAGTATAAGTTTTACTTTTTATTGAATTTAACAAAAAACAAAAAGACAAAAAACTGAACTGGGAAGAATTGAGCTTTCAATGTAAATGTGTCCTCACCACAGAAATATTATTTCTCAAAAGGTTCCACTAAGGTTAAAGAATAGAGATTATAACAATAAATTAACCAATGAGCATTTTTTTAAGTAAGTATTTCAGTCTTAGCATTGGTACGACTCCCTCCCGCTGTCTTCTGGTGTGTTTATTACTATTCTCTGTCCGAAGGATAACATCTACTTTCAGTTCTGAAACCCTCCTTCCTACAGCTGTTTTCTAGTGTTTGTACATGTAAGTCCAACTAACCACCATTCCTCATCGTATCGTGATTCCCTGTCTGCTGAGTTCTCTACCAGGTCTCACCAAATGTAAGAAGCACATTTGTGACATCAGAATCCATCTAATAAAAGAGAACGTGCGAACAGCAAGACAAACAAAATAAGAGTGTGGGAGCATCTACAAAAGACCTGGCATAGTAATTTATATTAGGAAATTTTACCTTAGGAGGTAGCATTTGAGAAGGCATGGCACTGAAGGACACAGTCAGGAAGTAACACAGTGTGCTCACACACTGAACTCCAAAGAGGTCAATTTAATTCGAAGCCAGAGAAACTGCCTTAAGAAAATGGCAATTCGTTACCTCAGGGCAGGGCTTCCCTACGCTGCGGCCTGAAGACTGCCTGCATCCTGACGGGGGCGGGGGCGGGGGGGGGGGGCGGGGGGCTGTGAGAACGCAGACCCGGGAATCAGAATCTCAGCCTAGGAATCTGCATTTTGACAAACTCTACAAGCAATTCTTCAGAATACTGCAATTTGAGGTTCACCATATCGAAAACAGGACAGATGGAATGGCTTCTCCCCATGTACCTGGTAGTGCAAATGTTCTCAGTGATCCCACAGCTGACTGAGTTAGGGAAAGGCGTCTGTCCTACCTGACAACCAAAACCTTCCCTGGGATTTTTACACTTGGAATATTAGTTTTGCTCCCTCGCTGGAAGTAAAATTTACAGGGTGAGGCTGAGAGCTGCTGGCAGCTGTGTGGAGAAAGCCAAAAGGGGGAGAGAGGGAGAGAGGGAGGGGGAGGAGGAGAGGGAGGGGAAGGGGGAGGGGGAGAGGGAGGGGAAAGGGGAGAGAGGGGGAGGGGGAGAGAGAAGGAGAGAGAGGGAGAGAGAGAAAGAGAGAGAGGGAAATGATTTGGCTATATTTGGTTCCAGTCATCTCTGAGGCCCAGCTACATCTGTGTAATTGGATTCTGTGAATTGATGTCCTTTTTATTTTTTGTTGCTGAAGTTGATCTGAGTTGGGTTTCTGTCAATTATATCCTCCTGACTCACCAGGGATAACCACCGTCTCCAAAAAAAATTTCAGCCAGAAACAGAAGTGTCTGTTGAATAAACCACCTTCTGTGGCGTAATATGGTGATTCTCATTTCTTAGATGAATCAACTAGCTACTTACATGATTCAAAACAAAACTGCCTTCAACAGGATCCCCCTACACATCACTGATGAAATCCTGTCCCCTGAACTATAGATACCCCCCCCCCCCACTTATCTACCTTTCTGAATGTTGCTAATATTCTAATCTTGCCAACTTCCTATTCGGATATATCCATCTTACCCTAACAATAAATATTTATTGAGCATCTACTACATACAAGCACTGAGCCAGGCACTGGGAGATAATTTACATTAATTGCTCCTTATTCACAGAGCTTACAATCTAGTGGGAGACATTAAACATATACAAATCATAATAATAACACAAAGTAATTTAGGGTAAGTACCATAAACAGCAGAAAATTTTAGTATTTCTGTCATGTGCAACCAAAACGAGTCCTGACTGATGAAGGAGTGTTCAGCAGGCCTATGGGCACAGGAGTATTTCACACCTTGCAGGGACGGGCAGGTGGAGAGATGAGGGGAAGGGCCGTTTCAGGTGCAGAGTGAACACTGGCCCCTGATAGGACAGCATGATGGCAGTTCAGTGTGGATGGAGAGCGAAGGTGTAAAGGAATGTAATAAGAGAGATGGGGGAAAGGGGGTGTAGAAGGGAAATTGGGGCCAGAATAGCAAGTGCCTGAGATTCCACCTTCAGGGAGTGCTGTCTACCTCAGTTCTACTCTTTGGCAGTATTATTCCCTATAATGTAATGCTTCCTCCCCAACTCAATCCACTCTCGATTCATCTCCACATAAACCCTCAATTATACCCACTTTCACTCTTCCTGGGTCATTTCTCTCCTCAAGTCCAATAGGCTCTGAAGATCACAAATCAACCAAGTTCTCTGATAGAAAATGTTCCACATAATATTTACCAGGCGTCCTCAAACTTTTTAAACAGGGGGCCAGTTCACTGTCCCTCAGACCGTTGGAGGGCCGGACTATAGTTTAAAAAAAAACTATGAACAAATTCCTATGCACACTGCACATATCTTATTTTGAAGTCAAAAAAACAAATGTTTTTGGCGGGCCGCATGTGGCTCACGGGCCGTAGTTTGAGGACCCCTGATTTAGACTTTTCAGAGAGGATATTTCAAAATGCTCTAAACACATCTGCTAATAGGACCTCCTTCTACAGAAACACGTTTCCTGAAAAGTGACCCTGCCAGTTCGGCTCTACGCTGACCTGCTCCACAGGCAGACCCATGCCCATCGCGAGGCCTGCCGAACAGGACGCTCAGTGAGGAATGCGTGACGCTGGTGCTGAGCGGTGTGATCTCCACGCATCTGTAAGGTCTCGCTCCTATTCTTCCCCAATTTATCTCAGACTTTCTATTTCCAGACAGCGTTTTAGAAGGTTCTGAATTTCTATGGAAGTTACAATATACTCACTTTGTGACTCCATAGTCAATTCCAATTGTTGCAAGGTATTTCGACACAAATCTTTTCTCACAGTATCGCTTTATAATACAGCTCTAAAAAGGTGAAAATACATGCTTTTAGTAAATAGCCTCTGTGATCATATACAAAATAAACACATTTCTTCACATGGTTGGTGTCTTCATTCCTCACTATGAGAAAGCATTTTTTAAAGGCAAAAGTATAAAATAACTGAAACAAATGCTAAAAGTGAAGATTTTAAAGAAAAATTATTTTGTAATTCTCCCCTTAATATCGAATATGGGTATGCTTTTAGTCTAGTTCTCAATCCTTGTGCTCTTTTCTTTGAAGATATCTTCTCCTTTCTTTTTATTTTTATTTTAATTTTTTTTTTTAATTTCAGAGAGGAAGAGAGAAATAGAAACATCAGTGATGACAGAAAATCACTGCTTGGCTGCCTTCTGCACAGCCCACACTGGGGATTGAGCCCACAACCCGGGCCTGTGCCCTGACCGGGAATCGAACCATGGCCTCCTGGTTCACAGGTTGACACTCAACCACCGAGCCATGCCAGCCAGGCTAGACCTCCTCCACTCTCAACAATAACAACAAAATGCCTAAGTCTAGCCTTGACCTCCCTCCCAAGACTAGATCCCCATCCCCAAATATCTGCTAAACTAGTTTCTACTCAGATGTCCTGTTGTTACCTCAAATTCAACATGTCTGAAAATAAACTAATCTTATACATAAAATAGCGCATCCTGCTGAAAACCTACTTCTATTGATATTGCTACCATTTTCCCAATCACAGAGGATCAAAAGGTTAAAGTCGTGTTTGATTCTGAGCCTTTCTAAATCTCCTCTCTTCATTCCAAGAGCCATCGATCCCACTCTGGTTTAGGTCATCGTGTACTAGACAACCGGAGGAACTTCTTCATCCGTCTTTCTGGCTCCTTTTCCTCCCGACTTTAGCCAACACTGCACACCACTAACATTATTTCAACTCAGAAATCTTCAGTGGCTTCTCATTGCCAAGACTTCAAAATCCAAATTCCTTTGTGTGTTATTCAAGGTCCTCCATAATCTGACCCTAATCTGTCTTCTCCAGCGGTTCTCAACCTGTGGGTCGCGAACAATGAAAATACATCCTGCATATCAGGTATTTACATGACGATTCATAACAGTAGCAAAATGACAGTTATGAAGTAGCAACGAAAATAATTTTATGGTTGGGTGACCCCCAATTTCATTGTTACAAATTGAACATCATTAAAGCATAGTGATTAATCACAAAAACAATATGTAATTATATATGTGTTTTCCGATGGTCTTAGGCGACCCCTGTGAAAGGGTCGTTTGACGCGACCCCTGTGAAAGGGTCGTTTGACCCCAAAGGGGTCGCGACCCACAGGTTGAGAACCGCTGCTCTAAACCCTTCTATATAAACTCTCCATTTCGGCAAAACTCCCAGGACCCGACTTCCTGGCCTTTGTCATTACTCTTCCTTCTGCTCGGAATAAACCTTCCCTTGTCTTTTCAAATCTTAGTTATCCTTTAAGGTCCAGCTCAACTCAGCACTCAGGTTATAAGAGGTCTTGTCTGCATCTGAACTCCCCTAGCACTTTACATACACACTATCACATACACACACACACCCTAGCACTGCCATTAGTCATACACTCCCTCGTATTGTTAATTACCTTTTCACATGTGTATATTTACTTTATCTCTTCAGCTAAACAGTAAACTATGTGAGGGCATGCACCAGTATTTTACTTCTTTATATCTTCTGCAGAATTAGATCAGTGCCAATGAAAAGCCACTTTAAAATGACTTGTATATTAATAATAATCCTTAGCACTTATGAAACATAATTTACTTGAAGTGCTGATAATGGAGTTTGTTCTTTCCTGATGAACCTCAATCTAAATTAAATAGGACAGTTACTATAAAAAGGACTTAATAAACAAACCCTAGTAAGAGAGGAGTTGCAAGAGTGCCCTCTCGTGGACATTCTGAGAACAGCACCCTTGTAAGGGGTTAGGTGCAATAGTGCCCTCTTGTGGACTTTCTGAAAACAGCACCCTAGTAAGGGATTAGGTGCAATAGTGCCCTCTCGTGGAATTTCTGAGAACAGCACCCTAGTAAGGGATTAGGTGCAATAGTGCCCTCTCGTGGAATTTCTGAGAACAGCACCCTAGTAAGGGATTAGGTGCAATAGTGCCCTCTTGTGGACTTTCTGAGAACAGCACCCTAGTAAGGCATTAGTAACAATAGGGTCCTCTTTTTAAAAAATTAATATATCTTTATTGATTTCAGAGAGGAAGGGAGAGGGACAGGGCGATAGGATTCCAGGCACGGAATCTCCTTTTTCTTATTTTATCTCTAGAACCTCTAAAAAACAATGCTGAGTAATAAAGGAAAATAGTAAGTATCCTTTTTGTACCTATTTTGAATGGAAGTTGCCTTAACATTTTACCATTTGGTATGTTTTCTGGTGATTGCTAATAAATATTGTTTTATCATAAAGTGCTCATTAGAAGTGACTAGTTACATCAAATTATTTTTACAGTACTGGAAATATTTTCTCCAGTAATCAGTTGACATAACAAATTATGGAGTTGACATCTTGATATTGAGCCATGTTTGCATTCCTATAATAAACCCTTATTAACAGTGAATTTTTTTAATTGTTGAATTCTGTTGATATTTCAAAATTATGCATCTCTATGTCTATGTAAAATTGGTATATAATTTTTAAAAAATATATATTTTATTGATTTTTTTACAGAGAGGAAGGGAGAGGGATAGAGAATTAGAAACATCAATGAGAGAGAAACATTGACCAGCTGCCTCCTGCACACCCCCTACTGGGGATGTGCCCGCAACCAAGGTACATGCCCTTGACCGGAATCGAACCTGGGACCCTTCAGTCCGCAGGGCGACGCTCTATCCACTGAGCCAAACCAGTTAGGGCAGTATATAATTTTTTATACTATATCAATTTTTGCTACTTAAGTTTCCATGACTTCATATAATAAATTTGAGTCCTATTCATATTTTTCTTTGCCTTGGAATAACTAAAGAAATTGAAATTGTGTTATTTAAAGCTTAAATAAGGCTTATTCATGAGCCTGATAGCTTTTTAAATGGCAAATCTCTTTATTTTATTGATTTCAATTTTTAAAATATATTTTTATTGGTTTCAGAGAGGAAGAGAGAGAAACATCAATGATGAGAGAAAATCATTGATTTGGCTACCTCCTGCATGCTCTACATTGGGGATTGAGCCCAAAACCCAGAATGTGCCCCGACTGGGAGTCAAACTGTGACCTTGTGGTTCATAGGTTAATGTTCAACCACTGAGCCACGCCACCTGGGCAATGATAAATCTCTTAAATTCTTTTTAATTTCTTCTGGAGTAACTGGTCAGTTGGACTTTCTACTTCTTTTTGAGTCAACTTTGGTAATTTATATTTTGCTAGGAAATCCCCCATTTCCTTTACATTTTCAAATGTGTTCCCATAGAATTGTAGGTAGTATTCTCTAACCATTCTTTTAATCTCTTCCAGTATGCGACTATCTCCTTTTCAAAACAAATCTTGTAATTTTTTGCTTTCTCTATTTTTTCTTAAACAGATTTTAGGCACTTTGTCATTAGTCATTCCAGAAAATTCCCTCTCTCTTTTGGTTTATGTTGTGTTCTTTTCCTAATGTATCAATAAATAAATTCCTTTAGCTTTTTAAAAATTGAGATATACCATACCATAAAATTCACATTTTAAAGTGTACACTTCCATGGTTTTTAGTATACTCACAAAGTTGAGGAACCATTAAATTCCTTTAGTTTTTATCTCTCTTCTGTAGAAATAAAATAATGCATTTTCCTTTGATGACAGCTTTAATTTTGAAGGTTATGGTATAGATTTAATTTTGAAGGTTACGGTATAGATTCTATTCATTTTTATTGCTTTATAGTTATTTTGTTATTTGTTCTGATTTGCTTTTTGATCCAAGGATTATTTACTAGAGCATTCCTTATGTTTAACTTATAATTATTTATTTGTATATCTTTCTACATTTTCCAAATTCTTTAAAATGAGTATGTACTACTTTTATAATTAAGGGGGAAAATGTGTTCATTTAAATCTTTTATTCACCTAAAATTTATTTTTGAGAAAGGAATGCAATAGGAATCTACTCTACTCCCAATTAGTAGGTACTTATTCCAATAGTACTTATTAAATGGTCTCTATGTTCCCATGATTTCATTACATTTGTTATAAACTGAATTTCCTCATCTGTTTGGGTTTATTTCTGGACTCCATTCTATTCCACTAATGTCTCTATATTTCCTTTCCAGTATCAATAGGAAATCTTGGTAACTTTAAAAGGTGTTTTAATATCTAGTAGAGTTAGTCTCCTCTCATTTCTTTTTTCACAATTTTCTTGGTTATTTTCATGTTTCATTTTTCAGAAGGACTTTAGTACCTTTTATTATGTTCTGAAGGAAAATCTTACTGGAAATATAATTTGAATTGAATGATATCTATGTATTAATTTAAAGAATTAACATTTCTACAATACTGAGTGATCCTAATTAAGAAGAAATATCTTTTCATCTGACTAGGTAATTTTATGTCCCTCTGCAGAATATGAAATATTTCTTCATACAGGTCCTACCTAGTTCTTCTCAATTTTAAACCTAGGCACTTTATTTTGTTTTTTATTGTAAATTAAAATAGTTTTCAGTTATATATTCCAAACATTTATAATTTTATACAGTAAAGCTATTAATTTTTGTATATTAGTTTTTCCTTATTGAATTTTCTTATTGTTTCTAATAGCTTTTCAGTTAATTCTCTTTGGGTTTCTAGATAAACAATCATATCATTAGCGAATAATGATAATATTGCCTTCTTTCCAGTACTTCATGTATTCTTTCTTTCTCTTACCTAATTGCATTGGCTAAGAAATGAATGCAGTGACACTGGGAATTTTGGGCTATTTCTAATGTTGCACCATTTAGACATAGTAAAATTACAAAAGTGATGCATGCTCACTTTGCCAATTTAGTTCATAACCTTCAAAAGGCATTTCATTATTTTCTTTTCAATGCCTGGCACAGAGCTGATGTTCAGTAAATGTTGACTTTCAGTGAATGCTATGTTAGTCCTTACATTTATACACACAGATACATAAACAGTAAAATGCTGCTAAATAGAAAGGAAAGACACTAATAAACATTGAATGAGCATGAACGGTATGTGCAAGGCACTGGCTTAAGCATCTCGTGAACGGTTCTTTTAGCTGGGACATCCTGCTCCCAGTTGATTTTGACAGCGCGCCGTCATGGAGAGAGCTCTGCGGTGGGCGTGTGAGGACCCGGGTTCTAATCCTGCCTCCGTCACTGATGTGACGGCTCTGAGAGGTTCTCACTAAGCAGCTTCCACTCACCCAGAAGCAGAGACAATTTGGGCGAAGAGGAGGCAGTCTTAGGACTCATTTGGGGAAAGACCTGGGTCGCCTCTCGCCCTCCATCTCCCCCACCCCACCCCTACAATGGGAGAGCGTTTGGCTGATACCCAGGAGACGGAGAAAAGAAAAAGACAGTGGAACTAAGGCTTCCTTGAGAGAACTGATGTGGCGACACCACCAAAAACCAAACAAACCTGCAAAAAAAAAAAAAAAAAAAGGCAACAGGCTCCTGGAGACGCCCTGCACCTCCCCGTGACACATTCAGCATCAGCGCTGCTTTCTTAGGACTGACAGGCTCGACTCTGGGCTCCAGGTCTGCAGAGAGCCCTGTGCAAACCCCAGGCCTCACACGCACCCAGCACACTCCCTGCGGCTTCCCAGCTCTGCTTGGGTCACTAAACTTTCCCTCTCCACCTCCCAGTCCTGGGGTGGGGGGGGGGGGTCCCTGGAGCGCAGAGATGGTCGGTCTCTGAGCGGACGGAGTGACGTTAGGTCCAGGCCTCCTGACTCTCTTTGGGGTACATGCCCTCAAGGGGCAAGGGCCACAGAAGACACCTTCTTGGGACGAGCGACGTGGGCGGGGAGGGGACCACCCAGAGGTCAGAAGGGTCAGGAGAGCTTCCCTCCCGGCGCCCAGTCCCCGGGAGGAGACCCCGGCCTGCTCAGGGGCGGGGAGGAGGCTGAGCCCAGGCGGTTGAGTGACCGCCCTCCCAGCCAATCGGCACGTCGCCCCGCTGCGCCGAGGACCCGCCCCTCGGAGCCCGGTACCCACTTTTCCCACTTCGGCGTTGCCCATGGAGATGACTTTGATGCGCAGGGACTTGCCAGGCTCCTTCCGCTTCGGCACGTTGGCGTCCATCGCCCTCGCTCTCCCGGGGCCACACGCTCGGCCTCGCCTCGCTCACCGTCCCTCAGGCCTCCTCGTCCAATGGCGGACCCGCTGCCACCGGCGCCGCCCGGGCTCCGCGGCTCGCCATCCCCGCCGCCGCACAGCAGCGGGCGCAGGCGGTTGGGAGCGCAGGGGACTGGGGGCGGGGAGGGGGCGGGGTGGGTAAAAGTCTCGCGATGCTAGAAAGGGGAGGCGTGACGTCATCGCCAGGCCTGGAAATGAAGTTGTGGTTCCCTGATCCTGGGGTCAAGCGAGGGAGTCCCGGGGGCGGGCAGGCGGCTGCAGGGGCGGCTCGTAGTGCTTGGCTTTGGGCCCAGAGGCGCCGGGACAGTGGTTCTCAACCTTCCTGATGCCGCGGCCCTTTAATACAGTTCCTCATGTTGTGGTGACCCCCAACCATAAAATTATTTTCGTTGCTACTTCATAACTGTCATTTTGTTACTGTTATGAATCGTCATGTAAAGATCTGATAAGCAGGATGTATTTTTATTGTTACAAATTGAACATAATTAAAGCACAGTGATTAATCACAAAAACAATATGTAATTATATATGTGTTTTCTGATGGTCTTAGGCGACCCCTGTGAAAGGGTCGTTCGACCGTCAAAGCGGTCGCGACCCACAGGTTGAGAACCGCTGCCTCTAGGACTTAGGCATTTGCTACGTTTGCGGCCGATCGGCTTTTAGGGCAGATCCTCCCCTTGGAAGCATCTGGAATTACGGATTAACTAGTGCAAGGCTCAGCCAGCCAAAATTCTACGCAGACCATGGTCTATTTGGGATTGTTTTCTGGATTCTTCAGTCCATACTGGCGGTCCACTCACCCCTCCAATATTTTGTTCCCCCAGCTCTGGCTCCAAAGAGCCAAAGCCAGGAGCCAGGGAAGTGGGGAAGTTCAGGCCCTGGTTCTGGAGGAGGGGCCGGTCCACAAAAATTCTCTGCCCCTAACCCAATGCCAACAGGAGTCAGAAAAAGGAAGGACTTTATCCAGGTAAACAGCAAGCAGGGCAAAAATCAAAAGTGGCTCCCTCCAGAGGCCAGGAAACCCACTTATATAGGAAAAGTGGTTGCCCTCGACCCTGATTGGTCCTTTTTTATGCAAATAAGGAATCCAAATGTTCACAGTTTAATTGGTCCAAATAGCACTGTCCTGATTGGTTGGAATTGTGCATTCTGATTGGTGGCTATGGAATTGCTCTGATTGGTCAGTAAAGATGTAAATGAGGATGCATGTCAGCTCTGATTGAATGGGCAGGTCTCAGGCCATTGGTCAAAACATGATTCTAAGAACTCCTTTGTCAGGTTCCGTTTGGGCAGGAACACAGTGCAGGTTTGGCAGATCCCTCTGTGAAGAGGGGCCACTCTGAATAATGGCTGCTAGACTCTGGGTTATGAATTTGGACCCAGTTACCCACAAGGAGTCCTTTTCGGCAGGTACATTCCTTCTTGGGTTCAATAGGCCTCAGGCAAGATCTGAATCCTATTCCTATCATTAAAAAAAAAAAAATTTTTTTTTAAATAGGCTATTTGGAGTCAAGATGGGTTTAAGTTTAGTCCTTACTCTTCTATTATGTAGTTCTAATTTGTAGGAGGAAAGTTCAGACTAGACTTTTCTTACACTCGTCCAGCTCTATCAAGGTGTGTGTGCCTGTGATTATAGCTGTCAGCGCCTTCATGCCACTCACATCCAAACTTAGCCCCATCTTCTGTCCTCACCTTGCCTTTAGCTGACAATATGACAAATGAATTCTAATGTAGCCGCTTTTATACTCTCTCATTCCAAGGGATAAGAAAAGCATCTTCTTGATAAAAATCAGTCTAAAAGGAACTGTAATTTTTGAATCAATATCCTCAGTTACAGAAGATAAACAGACCTTGATAAATGAATTTTTTAGTGCCCTGAAAAAAATAGCTGCCAGTTCCCAGTAAGCTACAAGGACAGCGGTAGTATTGCTTGTGTCCCCCATAGCTGTAAACATCTTAAATGTATTGCAGGAAGACAGCGAATAAAGGCTCAAATATGTATACTAGTTATTTAAGTTAGATTTTCAAATATTTCTATTTAAAATTTTAATTTTAAAACATTATATGCTTTTCAAGAAGAAAGCCTATTCTGGGTTTTCATTATGAATAACTGATATAACTTAGTTCAATGAAGCTTCTAAAATTCTTTACAAATATGAAATATAAGCCATGGTTAGAATATTGATCGTTTTAAGCTTAAAATAATTGGATTTAAACTTATTCTCCAGATACTGATCTCTCAGAATGATTTAATAAAGTCAAGAAACATCTGTTTCTTTGACAGTTCACCTTTCACCCTGTAACAGAACTGGTATTGTGGTAGAATAATTGCAAAATGTCAAGTCTAACTATTAAAGACTGATTAGGTATGATGCTCTTGAGCAGAAGGGCAATAAAACATGTCGAGGTTTAAAATATATTATCATTTTTGCATATTGATGTTTTCAAGGTTTGAGTATGAATAGCCATATTTTCTACTGGCTGTGTGAAATTAGTTTGGAATTGAAAAAGCAAGAAAGTAGCTTTTCTTTTCCAGCCTTTAATATAGAAAGAAGAAAGAGAAGCATGGATGGCTGTGTGTGGTGTGGAGCTGGATGAAGCGGTATATGGGTTAGGAGCAGGAGTGCAGGAGCCAGCTCTGTTATGTTTATGCTGGGGCGACACGGGCATGAGGTGCTGGGAAGGATTGCGGGAGAGAATGCCCATGAATAAAGACTCAACTTTTCATAATAGTTATTTTAAGTTCTATTTTCAAATATCTCAATTTAAAACTTTAATTTTAAAATATTATATGCTTTAAAATTGATTCCAAGAGCTCCTTTATAAGAATGCCAAGGAAGAAGTACAGTAGACCCAATAAACAGTAGCCTTATGTTTTTTATATTTATGTATTAAGAAAGATTGTACATATGTTAAAACTGTATTTTAAAAGTAAATTGGGAAATATATTGGGCATTCTTAAAGGTAGAGAGAACAATATAATAAATATCAGTGTATCTACCACATTGCTTAAGAATAAAGCATCACAGATGCTGTGTGTATTCCTCCCCGGTACAACCCTACCCCATCTCTACAGAAGGTTGCAACTCTCTGAATTGGTACTTTTAATTTGCACACATTTAAAAATTGTACTTACTGTATGTGTGATACACATGAAGTGTAGTATTGTGACATATCTTTTAGAAATATTTATTTTGAAATAATTTATTCAGAAAGGTTTCAAGAATAGAACAAAATCTTTTATCAACCCTTTATCCAGATTCATCGATTAACATGTTGTCTCGTTTGCTATAGCCAGTGTTCTATTTGTCTATCCATTTATCTATCCACATGTTTTTTCCTAAATCATTTGAGAGTAAATAGCAGGTGTGTGTCTTTACCCATAAACACTTCCGTGTGTGTTTTCCAAGACAAGGACTTCTCTTCCATGGCAACAGTATATTTACCAAAATCAGGAAATGGGACTCCGATACAGCTCTATTATCTAATCCTGTGGTTCTCATACTGTGTACTGAAGTGCCCCACAGCCCCACAGGGAATTCAGTTCACCGCGGATATCTGTAGGATTTCTTACATTCTGAATTCTCAAGGCAAAATGAAATCTACGACTATGCAAACCTACTTGCCCGAGATTGTTTGCAATTTCTACAATAGATGGCGCCATATTCCTTAAATATGTCATAGGGGAAACTTTTTCCATGACTGTGATAAAAACCCAAGTACAGTGCTAAAATCAGTGTGGAACAGGAAATTAGGGTGGTCTTGTCCAACCTGATCCCAAGGTTTGAGAAGTTGTGCAGTGCCCAACAGGTGCACACATCCCACTAGTAAGTAATTGTGGTTAAGATGGAAATAAAACATATTTTTGTTCAATTTGCATGTATTACTTTTTTCCAAATAGCAACTAAATTGTTAGGGCATAAATACTTAATAAGTTGTTTGGACCTAGATATTTCTTTTGGCCAAGGAAGACCATGAAAAAAATTATTGAAACACTGAAGGTACCTTGAACCAAGAATATTTGGGAAACTTTGTTCTAACCCACAGATAGTTCATATTCAAATGTCACCATCTGTCCCAAAATATCTTTTATAACTATGTTCCCCATCCTCACCCTCTGGTCTGGAGTCTAATCCAGTATCATTAGTTGTCATATATCTTTATTCTTTTTGTATTTGCTATGTCCTCAGCTTTTCTTTACCTTCCAATATGACAGTTATTTTTAGAACCTTCCTATTTTGTGTTGGGTTATTCTTGTCATTAAATTCAGTTATGAATGTCACAGAAAGGACATACTGTTCCTTTAAGGGCATCAATTTCAGAAAGTCGGTGATTCAATTTTTTCCATTTATTAATGAGGTTAACTTAGTTGATTAAGGGAGTGTTCACTAATGTGAGTTTTCCCCTTTGTAATAAGTAATTTGTAAGGGGATATTTTGAGGTTATATAGATATCCTTTCTCCATTGGATTTTCACCCACAAATTTTTAGAATCCAATGATGATTCACAGCTGAAAAGATTATTTCCATGATGGATGCAAAAATCATGATTGTCTAACTCCATCATTCCTCCTACATTTATTACTTGGGATCTTACCTTAAGAGAGAGCTTTTCTTTCTCATTCATTAATTTATTAATTTATATCAGTCCTAACTCATATATGCTTACTAGAGGCCCAGTGCACGGATTCGTGTACCAGTGGGGTCCCTCGGCCTGGCTGCGGGGATCGGGTTAAAACTGTCTCTCCGACATCCCCTGAGGGGCCCTGATTGCGAGAGGGTGCAGGCCAGGCCGAGGGACCCCACTGGTGCAAGATTGGGGCCGAGGAAGGATTGCAGGAGGGCCCCAGGGCGTGTCTGGCCCATCTCGCCCAGGCCCAATCGGCTGGACCCCAGCAGCAAGCTAACCTACCAGTCGGAGCACCTGCCTCCTGGTGGTCAGTGCGCATCATAGCGACTGGTCGAATGGTCAAAAGAATGGTCAGACACTTAGCGTATTAGGCTTTTACTATATAGGATTTTACTTCATGAATATTGTTTTGTTATTATTATTTTTTTTGATGCT